CCCCCCCCCCCCCCCCCCCCCCCCCCCCCCCCCCCCCCCCCCCCCCCCCCCCCCCCCCCCCACGACTTGATAAGGATCAGAGACGCAACTAACAAAAATGCCAGGTGCCACAGTATTGGTTATGGCAGAATGACAGCGATGGAAATAAAATATTGAATGACGATCCAATAGTTTATCCGATGAACAGAAATAGTTGAGAACAGGAAGAACTCCATAAGCACGTAGCTAACGCGCGTTGGAACGATTGTAAGTGACAATCGAATTAGATTGATTGTAAGGAACAATCAAGTTGAAAGAAAGGTAATATGTAATTAATAAAAAAAAGACGATTCTTTCTGATCGAGAAGAAAAATAATAGTCAGAGAGTATACGCTCGAATGGTGAGCGAAAGGTATTGAAAGAATGAGTATCGGTATATCTCAGTGAAGAGATATATATGAAGAAGATTGAAGAAAAAAGAGAAGAACAATTATATATATAATATATATTAAATTAACAGTATTAGGCGCAAAAACAAAGAAGAGAAAAAAGAGAGGGAAGCTAGAAAAAGAAGCAAACAAGCGCCAATATAACATCAGTGACGGTTGTGCCGTCACGGGGGAAATTTTGAGTATTCTAGTAAACCTCCCCTCAAAATAAAAGACCCCGGGTCTTCTATTATTTTCCAGCGTAAAAATTTCCCAGGGAGATCATCTATTAAGAACCGCATTTTTTCCTAATATTTAATTTAAAAGGTTTTCCAGAAACCTAAGGCGATTTTCAGAATCTCCATCACGATTTTCAGGTTTTCAAAGGTGTCATTATAATGGTGAGCACATTCTCTTAATATTTCCAGCTTAAAATGCAAAGAATCGGGCATATTTTGATGGAAAAACACTAATTAAAGTTGGTAGGTAGCAAAAAATTAGTTAATTTAAGGGAGGTCTTCTATTACGTCTGACAAAATTTTTCTCCAAAGGGCATTCTATAACGGGAGGGAACTTATGATAACTTTGTTGGTATCATTTTCAATGCTATTGTATAATTATAACGCTAAAATTCTCATGAATGTGCCATTCTTTTATACCTAATCATATAAGCAACAATCGTGCTTTTCATAGATATGCACCATTGATATGCAACGTTGCAATATCTTTTGCTACCTATCCTCTCTCAGATATATATATATATATATATGTGTGGGAATAAGAAGAGATGAAGACTGATTTATTAGTCAATGTAATCATTGATCATTATCATGTAAATATCTGACTCAACGCGACACATCAATAAAAATCAATGATAGAACAAACTCTAATTATTCTTTATATCAGTCGATTCTTATCTTACAACTAAAATTAGCAAATAAACAAAACTGTAACTATAAAGTTCACACGAGAACGAATTCCTTGACTACCTTTAAATAAGATGATGAGTATCAAGGCCAAATACGCATATATATTTATATATAATGTTATCTTTTGAAAAAACCTCATCTGAACAAGAGTATTAACTACACATCTTAAGTAGTCGACAATCTGCCAAAACAACAGTGCAAAAGTAGACATAAAAAGATGGGTTAATTGAATTATGAATGCAATCGAATTATTGTTCATCAATGTCAAGTTCACATGAAATATACTTGTTGTTCGTTATATTATTACTTGAAGTTGACATGAAAAAGAACACACAAGTTTCCGAAAAAAAAATGGAAATATCAATCATTAAATCCAAAATCGTCAGATTGTGTTATCCTTTTAAAAATCTATGCTTCCTTTTGTCTTGTTTGATTAATCAAACTGAATGAAATAATAACAGAGAACTAACTCGGAACAAACACATTCATATGGCATATTTAGTCTAGGACAAAAATATATCATTTAGTTCTGATGGTCAAGGATTCATATACGCTAGTTGTTTACATTAAATGTTTCAATAATCAGGCAAGAAAAACCATGAAAACAAAAAGAAAAATCAGATTAATAGAACAACTGCGGAATAACAAATGTGAATATTATATTCGAATGCTTTTCAATGGTTTTTATTAGATATTAATTTAGTACAGATTTGATTCATTCGAAAAACAATCAAAGGTCGCGTTTCATCGGAACAAAAAAGACTCAATGGGTGTTAATAATTTTAAAATTATTCTTTTTAATATTTTCCGCTGGAAATAATTGCACACGACCATGTTACATTAACGTGTTAATTTAATTGGCTATAAATAGGCAGGAAACTGCACAATGCCCTTTTTTCAAAGTTAAAGGGCGGATCGTCTTCGCAGGATAGAATAGTCCTTTACAAATTGTTTTCCTTTAGTTTGGAGAGGGATCAGACCACTGAAGGTCATAAATAATAAAGAAATCATTACTATTAACGAATGAATAGGTCGGCGTTGTACTCTACTTGTCTAATTAACTAAAAACAAACCAATGTTGTTGATGCTCCACATCAAATTATTTTTCAAAAGAGAATCCGATCCGTAAACAAATTTTGTTTAGTTGTTAGTCATTCAAAGTATTCTATATATATATATATCAAGGCGATGTCGACATATCCGTTCAAGAATTTAAAAGCACTTATTCAAGATGCACTTGTTCTAAAAATGTGATTTAGTTTGATTCAACTTACAGTTACTTCAACCACGTCGGTGTAGATAGACTCTCGAAATTTCGAGTAGATTTTCAAGTGCTAATTCTAAGACAAACTAGTTTATCATGTTTATGATAAGCATTGGGAAAAGTCGCTCTTTCTAGATTTTTACAAAGAAAATATTGTCACGTATTTCACAAAAGCTAATTTGTTTTACTCGTCTTGAACAGAAGCGCGTGTTCGTCCTAGTAATAGAAGTTCCAATTTCAGATGTTATATAATTAGAGAATATGTGTATGCGTGACTGCAGAGAAAATTCTTTCAATCCGTCTTCAGACTGGGTTTCATTTATCTTTAGGCATTATCTAATCTAATTTTTTAAAATAATCCATTGAAAAACTTTTCTACAGGATCAACAAAATCTTATAGATGCACTGACATGCAATCATCGAATAAGGATTGACTTTCTGCTTCCGTTCGACTTGTCATCTCGACCATTATATATATTAGTAATGAAAGGAAACAATTCGAAACCCTATTTTGCTTACCCTGGAAATCCAGATTATGGCGTATATTTCTAATCCTCTTTCTTACTTCTGTTACCTATCACAGGAAGCTCTTGATCTTATCTAGCGATTAATTGTTGACGCTGAATACACTCCACTTCTCCCCTGTGAACTCGTTCCTCTTTAGAAAAACAGCAATATGAATTACACCACACTAACTGAAGAAGACGAAGAAAACTTATCTCGATTGAATGCATTTCAATCCATCCTTCAATAAATTGTCATGTTCTTTTCTGCTTGCATAGACAAGAACGCATGTTATTGATTAACAAAAACGATCTGCTTTACGTCATGTCAAATAGTTGAGGAATAGCTGAAACGGCTCGACGTCTTTGTTTTTTAATAATAGCATGTCTACATACGTCAAGTCAACGAAAGATAAGACCTGTAAGAAAGACAAATGAATTGTCGATAGTAATTTTCATAATCGGATATTTCTGTTTAGCACCGAAAATGGATATTCTTGGCATGTTAAAAATGAGAGCTTAGATTTCTTTAATTATGATAAGACTGTCTACTATGGATGTTCGGCATTGACGTTGATTTCACAACTTCCTATTGCATTTAGAAAATTCTTTAAATACAATTGGATGTATTAGACACGGTAAATAAAATTTCGCAATTCATGCAGTTTATTTTGGAAAAAAATCTAATCGCTTACATTCTAAATAACAACTCAAAAAAACAATATTGTACGATTCAATTTTGATAATGATTCTAAAATTGTGGAATTCGATAATCCTAGGAATATCTTGAATAACTAACCTTCAATAGATTCAGACAAAGTTTCACCGATGAACAGACAGAACGCTCAAGTGTCTATTTGAATGACATTTATTAGATTCAACGAGTATCGATGTCACAGAGTTAGACTGACTGCTCGAAGGTTTTTTCTTCCAAAAGAAAAAATTTTGGAATGCATATTAGCAGAATCGATGTCGACATCATTGGAATACGTCAAAATCCTAATTTGTAGAAAATAAGTCGTGCATTCGTGATAATGACATTTAGATATTTTATTTATTTGTAGTGTATAACATTTCAAACGTTTAAGAAAAAGAAAAGAAAAAAATTACAGAGAAGAACGATTGACATCTACATAAGTTTAATATTAAAGAATGCCTTTTTTGAAAAAGATAAATAAGAAAAAAAAATATTAGAATTGCATCCAACTTAAATCGGAATGAATATTATTATTATTATTATTATTTCCTGTTGCTGTTGTTGTTGTTGAGGAGGAAGAAGTAGAGAAAAGTGATGCTGCTGCTGCTGCTGCTGCTGGTGGTGCTGCTGTTGATGGAGCAATTTTTGGAACAATTGAGCCAGGTGGAGGAGTTAATTTTGGAATTGTTGAACCTGGTGGGGGTGGTAAAATTCCTGGGACAACTGATTCATTTGGATTTTTAACAGTTTTTTTTGTTTGTTCATCGCCTGGCAAACTACTTTTAAGATTGATTTTAATTGTTTGTCCTTCTTTAAAGCGTAAATCAAGTTTTGGTTGTTGCTGCTGTGAAGGATCGCTCGCTGTTTGTTTAGCTTCTTGTTCGATCTGTTTGGCTTGTTTTAAATATTTAAAATGATCTTGTAAAGCAACATTAAAATCGAATGAATCTGACCGATCATTAAAGCCCATGCCTAAAAATGCTTGTTGACCATTATCATTTTGTACACGTATAACAAAATAACGTGTAGAATCTTCAACATTCTCGACCGCTATTGATGGATAACTATCAATAGGACATGTTGCAAAATGTGCTCCCGTATTACGATCTTCTAAACGTATTAAACATTTTTCACCTTTGGATATAATTTTTAAACGACAAATAAAATTTGGTGCATCTAATTTCCAATCAGCTGCACGATGTTTACGTGTTGCTGATTGACGTGGAGGTATCACATAAACATAAACTTCAGGTTTAACTAGGCCGATCGATTCGTAGGTTTCATCGTGTACAGCAGCCATTGAGTCCTTGATTTTGTTGTTTTAATCTAGAAAGGTAATATGGATAAGAATCATGACCAGATAATAAATATGAAAATAATAGGATAGTAAGTAATTCATGAGTCGATCGACTACGATCCTATACTAACAACTGGAAGAAGAAACCAATAGAATTTCAAAAATGATTCATTTTGAGGAGAGTGGAACTGTCAAAAGAGGACGCTCGTTTTCATTCATCGTATAGGAAATGCTTTGATATACAATATATAGATGATGAGTGGTCTATTAGCTCAATAATACGAATATTATGATATAAATATTAGACAACTTAAGTTTAGTATTTCAAAAACAGCAATCATGATGATGTGCAGTAAGAAATGTGATTGAATTAAAAATTTGTTTGTAGAAAAATCCTTTTGGTCGTTAGAAACATTTCAAAGCTTAAGATTTTGATTTTCACTGGAAACTGCATAATAATCAAGGAGTAGAAACAAAAATGAAAATAGAATTTTCCTTACGATTAATTATAACTCATTGCGTAGCAATTGTCTCAAGAGATTAGACAGTTGAGAATGTTTTCTCGTAAGAATTAAATAATATTTTGGTAATGATCCAATCAGATATTGTATTATTGATTCAGGCTGTCTAGAGATTTCTAAATGACGAATTAATTTTCAAGATTATCCTATTAAACATACAACAGTTTATTTAAATCTGAGTTAGAAACCAGCCTGCCGAACAATCACTCATTTAATAGAAATGATAGTATTTTCTTTTATTTACACTCTAACACAGTTTACAACAACTTCGGCATGTATCGTATGCGGAAGTAGATCAATCGGATAAACACTAGTAGGTATAAATGGTGATGTCGCTTTTTTTAATTTTGATCGCTCAGCAGCTGCTAATCTAAAATAACAATGTTTTCTAATATTAAACAAAACAGCACGTTGGTTACAGTCAAACAACATACTCATAAAAATTATGCATTGTTTGCTCATCTGATTTACATGAAACATAAACGATTCGTTGAATAGCCGATATACTGCGAAGTACTGTTGTTATTCTGTTAGCTAGAAAAAGATATTGTCTGTTTTACATTAGCATATCTCTGTATCAAACTCACATAGACTGTACCGCGATGAATTAACAATAGCTACAATACGAGAATGATTGCCATGTAAATCTCCGAGTTTCTTTAAGATTCGATGTAAGTGTATTTCACTGAAACCACAGATCCATTCGATATTATCTCGGCAGTTATTTAATTTTGCATTGAATTTTCCATCTTCTATGCATAATGCTAAAGGATCAATAGCGTAGACTTTCTTAGCACTCGTTGAAGCCATGACGGAATGAACACCTATAAATAGATTCGCATTACTGTCGCTTCACATGCCGCTTGACGGCCTCGAAAATATATTTCTTACCAATGCCTGATCCGATATCTAATACGATTGTGTTTTCATCGATTTGAGCGTGTTTTAATGTCAATTCATAAATCAATTCGGCAGCTTTTTTATTTGCTTGTACAAATGACTCTGGAGAAATGCGAAATTTTTTTTCATTATATATTTCGTATATAAATTCATCTCCATAAATTAGTTCAAATGGATTTTCTTCACTTGTACAACGATTATTAGCACTAAACATGAGAGAAAAAGAATTTTCAGAAAAACTTTAAAAGAAAACTATGTATGTGACATACCATGCTTGAAAATAAATAGAATTAATTTCACATTCACGACCTGATCCATCGATAAAATAATTCAGCAGATCTTTTTTCACTTGATCGATTTCATTCTGATTTCGAAGAAGAACAAAAAACCCATTGAAAATCAAAAAGATAACAATAGAAAATTTTCAAAGCACCTTACTTAATGACTGAGGATGAACAACCACAGTCATCATTAAGTCATTTTGTTCGTTTGATCTCAAGATGATCGAACGCCAATATTGATCTTTTTTTAATACGCTTGTATTTTCACATACGGGTAAAGCGTGTTGTTTAAGAAATTGATCAAAATGCTGCAAAGAGTAAATTTTTCAACTTCGTACTATGTAACTATAAGAACAAAACTTACTTTCACTGCTAGAATATGTTTTGATTTCATACTTTTTAAATGTATCGGTGATACACACAGAGTATTAGGAAAGTCTATATAGAAAAAAACAAGGTACATATGAGATTGATTTCAGGAGAAAAGAAATAAAACAATTACTTTTACTATTCTTTGGATTGATATAAAACCCGAGTGTTTTTTGACCATCTACTCCGTAGCCACATGACAGCTCATCTTTACATCGATATTGTTCGATATTCAGCTATTCATAACAAGTCTTTGTTTTAATATTTATTAAAATTAAAAATAATCATCTTACCGATGGAATAATTGGTTCGACATGACAAAATGGACCCTCTTGAAATTCGACATATTTCAAAACTTGATTATCGACACGTTTATCCCATAGAATAGCACGGCCAATTTGATCAAATGACTGTTCAACTATATCGTATTTAATCTGTAATTACTATTGACGTATAAATCAAAGAATATCTTAAATTTACTTTTAATTGTTCTTCATATGAATGATTCGATAGTGGTAATATCAAATTCGATAATCTAGAGAAAAAGAATACGAAATCTTGATGGTAAATCAGCGGAGTTCTATTTACTTTTCATATTGATTTTCTACTGTCACCTGTTCAGCGTACGGTTTCAATGAATTTTCGAACTGAATAGGATCAAATTTAGGTTTCAGATTTAGTGGTCTAGGTAAAACAACAATAAATAGATAAATGAGTGTAACTGTGATTAAACTTACGGATGCGCTTCTGTAGATTTTCGTGTTGATGTTTTATGTTGTAATGTTCTAGAGACATTCAAAATCCCGTAACTAGGAGTTAGAGAACGTTGCGTGAAGAACTTAGCAAGAAACATGTATCAAAAAGATGCGCAACTGAACTGGTTCGAATCGATAGACAAGTTCTTGTCATTAGAATATTAGATGGAAAATGAACCGCACAAATCGATAGTTAGATCGTCTATAGATGTCTCTTTACAATGGATTTTATTTTAATAATAAATCTTGACCTTACAAAAAAATTTCCATCCCTTCCGGATATTTTATTTCATAAATAGAAATCACAATCCAAATGAACTTTTCGAAAAAGCGAATAAACAATATATTTTTCGTGATAATAAAAAAGAAAAGATCAGAGACATGATAACTATCACTATCAACTGTATCTATCTACTAAAAAAGAAGAAATAAAATAAGGAAAAAATGATTAAAAAGCGCAGTTAATAAACTATACACACACGCACACAAGTGAGAAATGTCGTATTTGATATGAGCAAGAAACAGTTTTGACCTCAAGAAAAAAGACACGATGAAAAAATTCACCAGAGTAGAGTAGTGCTTAAAATAAATACATATTCATGCATACATACGATTCAGTCAAAATGAAATATAAATAGACGAACAACAACAACAACAACAAAAAAGAATAAATTCTTTTGGTTATAAATAAATGTTTAAAAATACGGCTGGGCAAATTTAGACAAGAACACAACAAATCACCTCATTCTAACGTATGCGAATATCGAAACATAGAAAAGCAGCAGTAATAATATTCAATAAAATAATTATAGTTGAAATATTGAAGACAATAAAACTGACACAAATCAAATCAATGTAAAAAGAAGTTTTAGATAAACTTCTTTCAAAATGGTAATAAGATAAAAATTTTAAAAAGAAAAACTGTGTTGCACGGATGTCAAAACGAGCATGGAAACAACTATGAATAAGGTGTCATGGATGGTGTATAAGGTGTTGGTTGAGTATATCCTCCGACTAAAAATAAGAAGAAATAGCTGCTTTTTGTTTTCGATTTCTATGAATTATTTATCGAAACATACGTCGAAACTCGGGATTGAGTATAATAATTTTAAAATTGCGCCGTCCACGAACTTGAGCAACAAGTTGAATAGAATCAAAGAGACGAGGCATTGTCGGAAAACCATAATCCGTTGGATAGAGTAAATGAGTTGAGCCAGTTCGACGTTGATATTCAACAATGAAATCGTCGTAAGCCATGCGACCATCGCATGGACTTAGAAGAAGTACTACATTGTAAGCAAAACACATCGGTGGAGTCAAACGAACTGTTTGATCGATTACCTATTCAAAAGAAGAAGAAAAAACGAATTTATTAATCATAGAAAAAAACAAAAGTTTTATTTAGAAACGAACTTCAACATAGTCTCGTAATTCATTGCGACACATATTCAATGTAATATCTTGTTTAAAACGAACAAGCATATCTTGTTTCAATTGCCAAAGCGACAATTGACATTGCGATAACATTAATGTAAGAACAACATTTTTAGCTAATTGAAGTGTTGTTGGATTTGATTCTTTCATTGTAAGAATGATATCGGTATCAGTATAATGAAACTAGAAAGTAATATCGATTGAAAATTGTGTTAATACATTAGATTATCTACATACGTCTAGTTTATCGGTCATCGTTAGAAGTAAACCCTCAATACTGGCCACACCAAAATCTTCGGGATTTAATTCATCTCGATATACTTGTAAATATTGTGCTTGAAGATCTTTTAATTTAAGTGGACCGTGAGATTTTCGTACTAATTGTTCAATATTTAATACAATTGCATTTGCCATCATACTTGATGTTAGTTGAACAATTTTCTCGCCATTTTTATCTTCATTGATCTGTTTAAATATGAGAGAGAGAGAGAGAAATAAACAAACGTATTTTTATCTTGACAAGAAAAAAAGCGACTATTTAAAATTCATACTTTGACAACATGAGAAAGTTCTTCGAGTAAATCAATTAAACGAGAAAATCCATATGTTTGTACTTTACATTGATAACCAAAATGATGACTAAATATAAATATCTTTTGTTAGACGAGCCTATTTTTCTCTCATTCTTACTGATACGATGGAATAAATTTTTGAAATGGTATACTGAAATCCGGTAAAATACGAAGCATATCAATAACATCTTTTTCAAAATTACGTGTTGCATAAATTTCTAGGTCGGTTCGTTCTAACACAAATAATGAAAAAAAAATTATTTTAATAAATACAAAAGAAAAGCACCTTTACCTTTACGATAAAGTTTAATAATATCTTTATCTGCTTCGACGACTAATTCTTTGTTGTCTTTAACTTCATTGACAAGATCTTCCAAATAGCACATACCAAAATCGGCAACGCAAAATTGTTTTTTATAAGCAATTTCTTAAAAACAAAAAAACAAAATTCTAGTTGTTTTCTCTTGATTTCTATTCAAAAATTCTTTCGTACCATATTCAACAGGAATTTCACTGATTGACATTGCTCGTTGTGGTTTATTTTTTAGAATACGAATTATATCATTAGTAAATCGTTTCATTTGACATCGATGTGTAATTGTCATAATACGTTTATTTCCATCACCAAGAATCTATTTTTGAAAAACTAACCGGTATAAACGTGTGTGATTATTTATTTTTACTTGAACAGATTTTGGAATAGCAAGTAAAAGATCAATGATTTTTGAAAAACCATAATCAGCGACGCGACATTGTCGACTAAAATATTGATGATAAGCAGAAACAAATTTCGAAACAGGTAAACGACAATGAAATCCTTGATTTTTAAGTAAATCAAGAACTTCACGGGAAAATTGTTGTAAACGTTGTTGAACTTCAGCACACATATCGACATGCACTTTAATTTAGATGGCACAGAAATACAGTCTAGATAAACTAAATAAAAGCATATAACTCACTATTAGATGTATCAAATGGTGTTGGCATAAATGATACACCTGGTGCATTTGAAAATTGTACTTTTTTAATGACTCCTTGTCCAGTTACGATTTGTATCTCTTTAATACCTGGAAAGAGAAATCAACAAAAATTTTAGAAAATCAAAAACTAAAGTAAATTTACATGAAATATAATGTTCAAGTGGAACACCTTCATTATGATCATATAACGGTTCGAAACCATGTGTATAACATTGAGGAAAGCTGAAAACAAAACGACCTATACACGAATGTTGAAGGAATGAAATATTTACCTAGCTAAAGGCATTGAACCATTGTGTTGTGTTAACAATTGTCGAACATTATCAGCAAATACACTGAATGGAATTTGAACGAAAGGTAAATCAAGATCAGGATTAACAATGAAATGTTTTGAACAGTGCATAATACAATAGGGTTGTTCCAAATGAGTCTGAAAATTATGAAAATTATGAATTTATGAAAGAAAGAAATCTCGAGATTACTTGAATATTATTTTCATCAAAACGTAAACGAAACGTAGGTAGAAGACGAGCAACTCGATTGCCTCCGTAGTCTTGAATATCAATGACATGTTTCATTGTATACAATTCACTTACATGAAGAGGTTTTTGAAATCTAGAAAATATTAGATAGTTTTAAAAAATTTCAATATCAGCAACGAACCGGCTTTGATATTCTTGAATGAGTGTAACAAGTACACAAGTACAATCGGGATGTTCTTTAAGTAACAATGCAATTTCCAAAGCTCGTCTATAGAAAAAAAAAAGAAAGAAAATCGTGAATGAATCATTACCGAATAGAATAACTTACTCAGCTGAATCGACTGTTGAGCCGCCCGATTGAGAAATTGGTGCTGGAGGTGGTGGTGTTTCATATAAAGATGACGGAGCAGGTGCAGGTGCTACGATACGTGATCGTTTAATGGATGATGGTACTCGACTGTATAGATCAGGCGTTAATGATTGTATTGGTGTTGAAAATTCAAGTTTAACTACTGGTTGATTATTATTGTATGATCGACCGACTATGATTAATAATGAGAAAATAAAAAAAGAATTCTAAAACTAGCCCAACGCACTAGTCGATCGATTGGTAACATCAGAAAACGGTCGTTTTGTAGCACTATTCGAAGGTGATTGTGGTCCAAGTTCACTCATGACTGAACGAGGTGTATAAATAGGCGGTTCATGAATCGATGATGCATTCCATTGGGATGGACTTGACATCCACCAAGTAGGTGTGGTGGGCTGCATGAAGCCAGAATCGATTGAACTATTATCACCGAGTAAACTTAATACTGTTTGTTTGTCAAAATCTGGCCCAAGACACCAAAGAACACTGGGATCCATCTCGGCAGCGGCAGTTTTTGATTGTTGTTGTTGCTGTGGTAGAAAATCGTACGACCTATTTCAAAGGAAAATATTTTCTTTCGACAAAAATTATCTGCATTAATAAACTAACATCGAAAATGGCATTGCTTGATATTTATTTTTGTGTGCGTGTATATATGTGTTAAAGATACATGTACTACAGTATACTTATATATATATATATATATATTCCGGACGACGAATATAAAAGGAAGAGAAACATCGAGAAAACAACTGCTGAACAATCATTCATGTTTTTCTTTTCTTGTCCGTTCGGATAATGGTGCCTCGAAGTAATCGTATTAACTAGCATATATCTATATGTATATATATTATGAAAACGTGCATTGTGTAGTTATCCTACATTGTATTGCAAGCGTTATAAAAGGAGAGAAATGTCCTTTACCGCCAACGCAATCATTATCATTATTCTCACGGATAATTATATTACGATGAAAATATTATTTTCTAACTTTATGAAAAATCAAAAAGAAAACAACAGATAATTTCTTTTTTTTCAATGTCTATTTAGAAGAAATGCAAGATAATAAATAGAATCACGCATAAGTCTGATAATACGTTGGACTTTCAACGCCAGCATCACTTGTCGAATCAGCGTCAGTCGAATTATTTAATTGTCTCGAACAGATATTTTGTCGTTTCTTATGTAATTTACGTTCTTTAGCACGACGATTTTGAAACCAAATTTTGATCTATTTAAAATAAAAAGATATTCTATATCTACAATATCCTTCTTCTTCGTCGTCGCTTACTTGTCGTTCACTTAATGCTAATGCCGATGAGAGAGCTGCTTTGCGTGGTATTGAAATATATTTTGATACACTAAATTCATTTTCAAGTTCATACCGTTGACGATCAGTATAAACAATACGGTATTTATCACGTGTACGAGTTTTTCCTAGAATGAAGAATTTAAAAATTATTCTGTTTCATTTTGCTGTTGTAAAACTTTATAACATTCGACCTAATAAAAATTTTACTAGTGTTGACTTCAAGTATAAAAACTGTATGCAGACACATCAATACAGAACACAATTTTTCGACATGAAAATGAATTCATTCGCTCATTATTTTCTTCTAGAAATCGACGTTTGATGAAGAAATAAATAATTATAGATTTTCAGTGTTTTTACTACACTCTACCTAATGATACAAAACGGTTTGTATTTATCACATCAAGAGGTTTCTCCAGACAAGTGATATTCTTGTGAGTTTTTTTTATCGAAAATAGTTTAGAAAATTTTTAGGTAACATTTCTTTGCTCCACTCGAACAATGAATTCACGATTAATCTTATCAATATATGTATATCAACAATTGAAAGCCATAAAAAAAAGAAAGATGTACGTGTGCACTACGGTACCATTTTATGGCATTCGGCATTACTTCTTCTTCTTCTTCTTTTTTCTCAGTTACAAAAATCAATCAAAACGGAGTGAGCGATTGTTAGTTCTTTCATATTTCTTAAATTGTTTACATTCAACACCGAACACTCTGATCAGTATATAACACCAATGTGGAAGCGCGTGTTTAAGCAATATTCAATTCAGTGCCCTTTTACATCTTGTTTTACTTGACAAAAGGTCAATTGAAAAGTGTGACATACCGTTGGCTGGATTTTTTGGTGGCGTCGGAGTTAATTGAGATTTAAACCAATTTTGTTGTTCTTGACATTTTAAATATGAAGAACTCGATGGTTCTTCTTCGGCTTTACTGTCAGACAACGGTTGATCAAGATTATTTGATGATTCAAAATAAGATTGCGGACTGTACGGAGATTCAAATTTAATCGATGGAAGCGACGGTGTTGGTGTTGTCCATTGTGATTGATCATAGAAACTATTATTTGCATAAGTGTAATGACGGTAGGTATCCGGTGTTTGATATTCAGTTGGTGGAAGCCAATTTGATGAATCATTCGATGATGATGCTGCAGGATGAAGATGTTGATGAATATGATGATGATGGTGCGTAGCTGAAATAGTTGCCGTTGAATTTATTTGTGATAAATATACAGAAGATGATCCATGTGGTGCAAGTGTTTCAAGAGTTTGACTTGTTGACGGTGACGGATGCATTTGATCAATAGTTGCATTTGTTGTTAAAGGCGGTGGGATTGCTAAAATGTTATGAGTTGTCGGTGTTCCTGGCCAATAGTTGTAATCAAATGCTTCTAATTTTGATGTGACTGTTGGTGGCGTAAATTCAGTATATGGAGAATAACTATTATAAGATGTATCATATAGGCGAGGATTGGATTCATGATCAAGAGATACGATCGATGGATAGTTCGTGTTCATTGCCTAAATGAATATGTGAAATATAGAATATTTCTAAGAATGAATCAGCCGTATGTTTTTTTTTCGTCGCCATCGTCATGCTTGATTGACAGAGGGTCTTTTGGGATAGTTCGTAAAATTAAAAAAGAAGGAGAATTCTATTTACCTGTTTGATGATTAGAGGGTGTTAATAATGATGCAATAAATATAAGTGATGATTTCACGGATAATCAAATTTTGTTTTTGTTATTGTAGTAATAAAAATAGAACTTTTCAATATTGCTTTAATCACATGATACAATCATAAAAAAATTTCAGAATTATTTCCTTCAATTGAGAGAGAGAGATAGAGAGAGAGAGAACAATGGTGATGATACGAATATACTAAGAGAATTGAATAGGTAGGTATACACTCACTGCTGCACTTCTTTCCTTTATTTTATGATTCAATGTCTGCTTTCAATAACACTATTTCTCTTGGCGATAAATCGATAAGAGAGAGAGAGACATAATTCAAAATTTTATTGGTGCAGAGAAAAGAAATAATATCATTGGCTGATAGAGAAGCACCAAAAAAATAGAAATATTGATTTTAGAAGGTAACTTTTGTAATTTTCAAAACACTAAAACCAAAATCATTTATTACTGTGTGTGTTATCAGAGTAGCATTGAAGTACGGATTTCAATTTGTCCGATTCAAATTTACAATCGAAATCTTTTATTCCACAGCATCAAATAAATCTAAAGAAATATTATCTATTTATGCCTTCAAGTGGTCTCATATTGATAGATTCCGTTGGATGTTCAATCAGGGTATACTCGAAAAGATAAGGATTCTTTCATGAAATTCAATTGCATCGTCATTTCTTTTTTCTACTTACCTTCTGTCAGATTATTATTGTTATTATGCCTATCTTTTTCAATCAAAGGCTAATAAAAATCAATCTGTATGAACGAAATCAAATTAAAACAAAAAAGAAAAGGCCATGAGAATCATCCCATGATAGTAATAGATTTGTTCAAAATACAATCAACTTGATTTATTATCTATCAGTCCCATGGATAGTTTAAGCTTGTTGTCACTTGAGTGAAAGGAAGATTTTGACTTCTCCACCTACATTCTCTTCACGCCTATGTGTGACCAATCACATGAGCTTATTTAGTATTCATATTAATTGATTCGATGACCTGTATTCATGTGTCTTGTCTCAATTGGCACTATGTTAAAAGTCAAACTGAGCATAAAATTGATACCATTCATAGACATTTATTCAATTGTGAGTTAAAATAAATAAAAGCTTGTCTTATTTCAAATTTAGGAAATGATATACAACAGAAAATTTATTCACTGATATGACGAACATTAATAATTATACAAAAAGATAGACTCCAGAAAGAAAGAAAAAACGAAGACATGGTACTATCACAAATATAACAAAAAGTAAATTATGAAGGTTTCAAAGTGTATGAATTGGTGAAATAAAATAAACACCAATAGCAAAGCGTGTAGGATTAAACCACTGCAAAAATGAATATATGTACGGGTAGCACCTTTCTTCTATGAAATTGAAAAGGTCATTGACTGAACATTTTCTATTTTGTTTCTTTCGGGACTCAACATACGACATAAATTACCAAAATAAAAATAAAAAACAAAAAAAAAGCGATTCATGCAGCAAATGAAAAACACTAGCAGCAAACAATAAAAAAAGCCATGCAAACTAGCTAAATCGCTTACTATGTATAGATATATATTCTCTTTTTTTTCATTTTGGTATTGAATTATTTTTAAAAAAATTACGAAAGAATGTTTTAGCTTGTAATTTCGAGTTTTGTAACTGTAAAAGAAGTTCGTCGATTGTGTCTGAATAATATAGACAAAAGAAAAAGAAAACAAACAATAATTAACGTAAGACAAGTTTCGAAAGAGGATTGCTTAACGAAAATAAGAGAGAGTCTGACATGCGTGCCGATGCTGTTTTAGTCGTACCTGTCTCAGATGATCTTGTTGGTGGTAGAGGATGATAGACGGAAGCTAAATGTTCGAGTTGTTCATCAGTTAGAACATGAAGAGATCCCGTTCTATCATCTTCATCGTCCGTTATTTGTGATGAATAACCATCACTGGTTTTTCTTTGATGTCGTTTTGAGAAAACTTGGTTTGATTGTTGATCTGAATTGATGATAACAATTTGCGGTGGTGGTTCTTGCGAATGAAGAAGAAATTCATCATTAAAATTTGTTGGTGTTTTTTCGTCGCCTTCAGGTGAAGTTCGACCACTTGTATTTGCGAATATTCCTGCTGGCAATTGTTCTGTGCGTAGTAAACATGAACGAAGCAATTGTTCAGGGCGGTTTAAGCGTTTTGAAGAATTTATTCTAGGTGAATTCGTTGGACTTGTTTTAACCGGTGATGGTGGCGATTTTTTCTAAATAATATTAACAAAAAAAAAAAATAGTAAAGTACGTTGACATGTTAAGTATAAGTTTGATTCACTATCTTCGATAGAAATATAGCTGAATTCTAAAAATAAACGACATACGAGTTCTGTACAAGTTAATTGTTCTTCGCCGACATCATCTGTTCGGTCATCAATTTCACTAGGTAATTTTCCTTGATTTCGAAGTGCATGGATTTCATTACTGATTCTTTCAAGGTTACGTAATGATTCTTGATATTGTGTTTTAGCTTCGTTAACACATTTCTCAAGACCATAAACTTTTCGTTTTTGAAACTAAAATATTATTTCAAATAAATAACAAAAAGTCAATGTCGGATTCATACGTCTAATTCTTTGTGATATTCAGCCTTTTTTTCATAATAAGGTCTTAAAGAAGCAAAAAAAAGAATAAAGATTTATTTATTATGCAGCAAAATATATTTTACTGTGATTTATTGATCGCACGTCGATAATTTTTCTGTAACTTTTCAACTAATTTGTTGACTTCGTAATAAGCTTGTTCAGCACGCTGCTGTTCTAAATCAGCGTCATATTTATCTCGTTCAGCATCAGTTGCCTTAAGAAATAAAACGAGATTTTTTCTTATATTCCAATAAAATTACATTAACAAACTTTTGCAAGAGCATGACCATATGTTTCATTCCATGTTTCTGCATTTTGATTTGATTTTTCTGCTGCATCAATATAATCAGCCTAAAGTATATTAATGAGATTTTTAAGTATCAAACAAAAAACGACTTACTGAAGCCACAGCTAATTCTTTTGCAGCAACATGTAAAGCTTGTGCACGTTCAAATCGATGTTTTGCTTTCATTAATGCTTCTTTTACATTACGAACTTGAAGTCGAGCTTCATAATAACTTCGCGCTTTACTTACAGCTGATCCGATCGTTTTCTCCAATTGTACTAAATCATCTTCAGCTAGATCGGCAAATTCTTTTAGAGTTTTTCGAGCTTCCTATAAATAAGAAATAAATGTTGATAGGAACTAAACGAAAAAATTTAATTACATCGAGCTGTAATTCTAAATGATTGATTGCTTCATTCGCATGATTTAATCGTTCTAATTCAATCTGCAATAAAAATAAATAAAAAACAAGATGACAAGCGTCAATATTAGAATTGAAAGATCACAAACCTGAACTCTTGGATCAAGCTCATCGTCATTCTCAGAGGCTAAATTCGATTCATCGATTTTAGTATCTGCAAAATCAGCCATACATAATCTGAAAGAAAAAAAAATGCGGACTAAGAATTTATCATCTCAATAAGATTATTCATTTGTTCATGAAAACTATCAGTATCATTATTCGAAAATACGAAAGTCCACTGAACATTTTTATCAAGTTGACATTCCGATTCTGAATCGTCAATATTAGATGTAAAAATCCAACCACGCATTTTACGCGTGTCAATCGATGCTTCAATACGAACAAGTAATAAACGATCGGAAAAATATTTTTGAAAAAAATCAATATCTGTATAACGTCGAATATCACAAATAATCCATATTGGATTTATCGAACACATTTCATGCTTTTGTTCAATAGCCAAACGACAGAAAATTGACGGATCTTCATCTCGTTTCTCTTCACCCCATCTAAAATAAAAATACAATTGAAAATTTTCATTTCAGAATTAAAAAAAATGAGTATATACCTAATCATATCTTTTCGATAATTTTCTTTATACGAAGATGAATCTAATAATTGTTCACCATTGATTTGATTTAATCGAGCATACTCTAATTTCAATGGTTCACTTAGATGTAGAGGTACAGCTTGGAGTTGTTCAGCTAATTTTTCCCCGATATAATCTTTTCCAGATTTACGCTTACCAGAAAGAAGAATAATTTTTTTTACATTGGAATATTTAGACTTATCAAATGATGTATTCATTTATTATTGATCTAGAAATAGGTTTTGTCTGTACTTATCTAATGCAAGTCAGGTGACTTCAAGATATCAAAGGTACTTTGTTTAGAAAAATTGAATAGTCAGAAATTTTCAATAAATTTATGAAAAGATATCTTTCATACAAACCTAACTTCAGTCCATTTTTACAGTATCAACAAGCAACATTTACATAAATATTTTCTTTTCATGCAAATAAATATGTCTATCTTTGATAGTTTAGCGAAACCGATAAGAAGCCATAGAAATATAGTTTTTAATTGGCGTGCATCGAAAATAACGACAATAATAAAATGATGTTAAATTGAATGAATCGATATTAGAAGATAATTATATTAACGAAGAAATGCATTTATTCTCTCATATGAATCAAAAACATTATTTTCGATTTTTATGTCGAATAGAAAAAGGTCTTTGCTATTCAAATATATTCACTTTATCAGTGATATTTACATTATAAAAGATCATTTATTAATTATATATTTTAGAATGACTGACTATTGGTAGATAGTTGAGAAATTGACAAAACACTGAATATCATATAGAGATGTCGCTAAGGATATTTAAAAAAAATAAGGAACTTTTTCTTTGCTCACATGTGTGAGCAACAGTCATATTGCAATAATTTGCTCCAATCGTTTTCTCACAAAACTAAAAAACAGTAGTTCTTCGTGTATAATCTTATAGCTGGCACATACGATAGCATTTGGTTGGTCGTATATAGAGAACACAGTTGTGTTTACAGAAGTCTAAAGACTGCGTCTTTGCGATATCAATCATGCAGATTACCATGTAGAAAAGAAGATCTACGTTATCATTACTGTTATCTAAGTCGATTGAACCTATAAAAAAATGACACAATAATCTGCTCGATATAAGCAAATAGGATTTAGATAAATTGCCTCTGATCTCACTTTGCAGGCTTCTTTTTTGTGTTTAAATCAACATGCTCACGTTTATTTTTTTTTAATTAACCTGCACACACATGGAATATTTACAAAGATGAAAACAGCAAAACAAAACGAATTAATAACTCTAACAATAAATAAATGTAATGAATTTTTCTTCTGAACATATTATACACAGAATCTTATTAACAGTATAAATTCTGTAAGCGAATGTTGCATTCATTTTTAAATATTCGATTGAAAATTGCACGATGCTTAATTAAAGAAAACTGAATGATATTACGAAACAGTCGCTTTCCAATATCACACGTCAGCAGTAAGATGTATTCTCTTACTCTTTGATATATACCTAGGTCGAGTATTACGGCGACTAGAAATGATCGTTCACGACCGAAAACGCTAACGTAAACTATCGTTTCCGACCGTAAGTTGACGTTTTGGCATGCACCGTATTACGACCGTATTTTACCGTGTCGTAAATGGCTGATCACGATCATAATACGGTGCATACCAAACGGCACAAATATTAACTGAAACGGCCGTTTACGACCATGTGTCTTTCACCTGGGCTCATTTTATTTGGATGTTTCCTACCTGGTTCTTTTTTACCGAAAAACAAAAGAAAAAATATATTCGTTATTTTGTTCAGGAGTTAGGTTGGGATGATATCTCTCACTATGATAATAAGTGACGAAAAATCACTATATGATTTTATTTTTCGTTATTGGAATAAATTTGTGTTTCATCTTGGATCACCAATTGAAGCAACATACTTGGACAGCATACTTAGCTTCAAAATCCCCAGATAAAATTTGGTATCGAAGTATGGGGCTCAGAAAATGTAGTTTCTTTCTAAACAGACTATCAAAGAGAGCTGAACATAGTAAAAATGATTGGCTAATTTTTAGAAGCAATCACAAGAAGTAACATGAGTATTTTAAAATTTCAACATTACATTTGGATATGTTTATATATAAATACTTTCTATTCGCTCCTTAATTTTTTACAATTTAAATCATTTTAAAAAAAGTAAAAAAATAAAACATAGGTGACGCTTACTGTTAGGAGTGTGAAATAAAACTTTTTGTTCGTACGTGAATCCCATAATGAGATCCGCTCTATTCTATTGTTAAACGTTATACTTTTTTCTTTCTTAATCAATCTTATTGCTAAAATTATTATTCTTTCGTTTGTTTAAATCGTTAAACTGATGTTATATAGTTATGTAATATATCTCTTTTTTTCTCCTTCTTTACTTTTATTTATGTGAACCTGTACATGGCACATTAGAATAAATGAAACAAAAAAAAAAAACATAACTATCTACGAATAATTTAAGGAAGAACAAGAAAGATATCGTCGAGCTTGTTCGTTCATATAACGTTGGTCACGTGTTTGACCAGTTAAAATTTCTGTGTAAGTTGGATTATACTAAATAATAAAAGTTACATTAGATCAATTTTTGTTGTTATACTTACACCCAATTTATCTGGTAGATTTATTGACAAATCATATTTATCTAAACAAATTGTCGAATGGTTTTCGTTGATAACCGATTCAGACAATGGAAGAAGATATTCACTAGAATATGAAAAAAAATTACTAGGTTAGATTCGACTTTTTAAAATTTACTTGAAACAATCTTGTTTTGGACTTGGTGTCAAACGTATTAAATGAGGCTAAAAGAAAAATCGATAGAATATCAAGAGAGATAGGTAATTTTTATTTCGGCATACTCGCTCTGGCGTATTAAGTATATGATATTTTGAAGGTGATGATGCATGTGGTGGTGGTGAAATATTCATATTTTCACTTGTTTTAATTAGAAATTGATCATCATTGGAAAATAAATTTATATCAGTTGATAATAAAGATAAATGTGGCGATGATGCATAGGCAAATACAGGTAATGACGATGATCTAAATGGTGGATGTGATAAATAATAATCAATCGATGAATGAGAATGGAATAATGATAGATGATGATGTTCATCCGATTGAGAATGTTGACTTGACGTTGTATAATTAACCGATGATGATAACATTGGCGATGGATGAGAACCAAAAAGTAAATGATCGACATCTTGAGAAGAATGATGTTGAAGATCAGTAGAGATTTCCGAAGATGATAAACACTAAAATTAAACGGATAATGTTATTTTTGATTGACTATCGAGATTAAAATTTACCTGTAATGGACCAGGATAGATCGTTGATGTAAGATCAAAATTATTGCTTTGATTTGTAGTTGAATAAAATCGATGATAATTAGTATTACTGTTCACAATTGGCACATGACTTTCTGTTTTTATGACACGTAAAGGTGATAATATATTCTCTGTTGAAGTGTTTTGTATATCTGATGTATGCATTTGTAATGGTCGATTGGTTATCGTATTGAGTGGCGTTCGAGATGAACGATTCGGTTTTGCTGACATTGGTTGATCAAGATTTGGCCATGAAAAATCAGATGGAATTCTAAGAACGAAAAAAATACATTTGTAAAAGAGAAATACGTTTTCGATTGAATGGGTATAATTACAATACAGTCCAATCAAGTCCTTGTTTCTTTAAATTTTCGACTTCTAAATAAAATTTCTTTTTCATTGAAGAATTCCAATGATTTTTAATTGAATTATCTGATCGTCCATTAAAATATCTGGCGATTTCAGCCCATTTATTACCAAAATGTTGATGTAATATAAATAGGCGAAGATTTTCTTCAGTTGTCCATGGATTTTTATTGATTAATGGATTAAGATGATTGTGCCATCTAAAATAAATTTTTAATTTAATCTTTCTTCGAGATCAATTACCTTTCGCGACATTGCTTTCCAACACGTCCTTTTAATTCTTTGGCAATTAAACTCCATTGTCTGGCTCCATAATCATGTACAAGTTCAACAACTTTTTTATCTTCTTCATCAGTCCATGGTCCTTTGGTTATAGATGGATCAAGAAAACGTTCCCAACGATGTTGACATTGAGCATCTGTACGATCGTTACCAACATATTTCGATATACACGACCAATCTTTTAAACCATGATGCGATGATATAAATTCTCTTAAACGATCATCCTAGAAAACAAAAATGATTTAAAAATAGATGAACGAAGATATTACCTCGTCTTTAGCCCATTTCTTGTATGATTTTTTTCTTGCTGCAAATATCTTTTGGATTGTTGGTAAATTTTCATTATTATCTAATTCATCTTCTGTAAAACTACTTCGACTCCAACTTTGTCTAAATACAAAATAAAAATTTACACTAGAATATTTAATTAAATTTCTTACCGTTTCGTGATCATTCCTAAGAAAATGCCTCAGTGTGTGTGGTCAATTTGTTCGTCGGAGAGTAGACAATGAACGTTCGCTTGTCCGGTCGTTCGTTCTTTTTTTTCTTCTTCTTTCCTCGACTGCTGTGTTCGCTGAAAATTCGATAGGCAAAACGAAATTAGACGGGATAGCGTCAATCGAATATTGGAAGAAGGAAGGAAAAAAGTGTGAGAACACACATGCTTCAATATCTAGCAATGACGCTATGAACAAAAAAAACAGAAGCTTTGCGTTCTTGCTAAGTGAAAAAGACAGGTTACTCTTGCGAATCGGAAACATCTGCTATGTGTATGATGAAATTCAATTAATGAACTCGTTCTTTTGATGTGTTCAAATAGACGGATCGAATAGGAAGTAAACGAACAGAGATCAAAAACCTGAATTTATTGAAAAAGTTAAAAGGAATACTGACATCTATATGATATTGACTATATAAAAGAACGGAGCGAACCAGATATGTTATTGTTTCTAATCATCTTGACGGTGTGAGTGTGAGTGCGTATAAGGACAAGTGGTGATTACATGAAAAATCTACACCCTCAAGACAGTCTTGACTCAATTAGTTAGAATAGTTATGTGTTGATAAGTGGATTGAAATTATGTATATTTTATTTATTTCAAATTATTAAAATAATGATACACAACGAATGGATGCATTTTCATGCGCAATAGGAACGTTGGATAATGAAAATATAGTGTCCACATGTCCATGTATGCATTTTTGTGATAACTTCTCCGACGGATTTATATCTTTTTCACAACTCTTCGTAAACTCTTGCTCATTGTCTTTCATTCATTGGGCAAATACTTGACGAAATTTCATTATTTCACTTTCTGAATAAGTGCTTTCCGTTCAGAAATCTATTATAGATCCTTGTGGCTGTTCAGAAAGAGAAGTAGCACACTCACACCCACACCCTAGGCTGACTGAGAAATTGTTTAATACTAAGTACAGAATACAAAATAGTTCAAAAGAAAAAAGAATTCGTAAAGTGATCATGTACTAGTTTCGGATTTTTAGTGAAGTTTTAGTTAGATATAAAAGCTGCATAGAGATATATACCCCTGGAGAAAATAAGTTTCACTCTGTATTTTGAGGATATTGTTACCAAAAGAACATATTTTTTTAAAAGTAACGACATATTCTGAAAGCCCGTGAAATTTTACACCATCCTGTGTATATGCATTTTCATCTATACTTATTTATTATCAGAAAAAAATTGTGAAAAATAATAAGCGATGAATGCTAATTATCAGAACAATAAAATTAGGTTGAGATTTTTTGGGAAGTCATGTCCATAATCTGAAACGTCTCCTTTAATTATGAGAAATAGTATTTGTCTTTTTCAAAGCTTGTGATCTACTTTATTGTTATTTATCGATTTGTGAAAAACTTTTATAATGATCCTCGAATTAGCGACTTATTTCAGTAGAAAAAATTACATAAGGATCTTGGCTACGGCTGAACTGTTGATAACAGCTTCATTAAAACAATTTTTGAGCAGAGCAGTTAAAAAACACCATAACAATTGAACAGAAGCGGTGTATAAAATGTCCTCTTTTTTTGTCATTTTTTTATCGAAAATCCTATATTTTTGACAACCTTGATCCTCTAAGGAGGAGGCTAGCTTGACACTATTAGGTTATTCCCTTCTTCATATGTTTAATTTAAAAAAAGATATCTTTTTTATTCTTATTTTTGATTTTAAGTATTTTATCAAGAACAACAAATAGCTCAACTAATCACTTCTCAATATTATCAACTGATTAAATTTCATTCTACATTCAGTTGAAAGTATACTATATTACAAATACTATTTTCATTTTAGGTATTGCATCAATATTATTGATTTGTTCAACAAAATATGCTTTGAGACGATCACTTCATATCCTTCTTCGTAGGTTTAGTTTAAAAAAAAGTCAATTCAATACCATTAGTATCAACTGATACTACTAGTCTATTTCTATTGATGATGACTTCTGGTTATGAGTTAAAATCTCTCGTAAATTTAAATTTAAAATAAAATAAAGCGTTCTAGAACAAGATTATTATTACAATAATATCCATTTTCTTTCATTTATCTATTAATTAATCCAATTTCATTTTAAAATTTAGTGAAACGAGCATTTTTTAAAAGACCAAAACTTTTATTCTGAAATATTGATATCTATTAAGTATTCGTTTGTTGAAATGAATAAGTTTATTATCTTTGAAATATAAGTTAAAAACTTTTAGAAGAAAAATCTATTTAATACGCAGAAATGGTTAAAAATCATTATTTTGATAATTGGCATTTAACTAAGTTTTGTTGTTGATTTTTTTGTTAATTTTTCAAAATTCCTTTGGCTTTATCTAGGAAACCAAACAAAGAAAAAAATTAATATTTTAAGATAGGATTTGCTAGAAGACTAGTCAACATTCTTGAAGAAAAAGTCTTGAGTTTTAGATTCAATTATCTCAAAAGAAAGACCTTACAGAGTTTGTATTAAATCCAAAATATGACATTTTTAGTAAAAGCTATTACTAAATTAACACTCGAAAGAATAAAGTCGTTCTGTACGATATTAAGAGTAAAAAAAAAAACTTTTTTTTTCTAATCTGATAAATCCTGTTTTTCAGAGCGCATCTCATACTCAACAATATTTATCAGATCGAACTCATGTTTTGGATTTAATACTAACCCTATAAGGCCTTTTACTGAGATAATTAAATTTAAAATCAAGACTTCTTCTCCAGTCAAGTAGCTTTTCCCCTTGTCAATTTTCTGACGAATTCTCTTCTAAGAAGCTGTCAAGCTTATAAAATACGTATCATAATCGTCTCGGTTTTCTTTTATACAACAATAGTTCGATTCTTGATCATCCTCAGATTTAGCGGATAAGATGATGCTCATGCTTTTGCTTTCGGGCTCCGTGAAATCTTTCATAGCTTTTTCGAACTATAATGATTGAGAAAATGATTTTGCTATTAAATATATCTGTACAGTATANGAAAATGATTTTGCTATTAAATATATCTGTACAGTATAAAGAAAAGAAAATAATACTTTTTCTATAATTTTTGGAGCATTGGTTGCATTCATCTTGAGCTTTGCTCGGCCATTCATATATATATCTAGACAAAAATATCGTAAAAACTGATTATGATCAGCACATAAGAAGAATAAGAAAGAGTGAGTCAATGAATGTACAAGATAACCTTAAAGTGAGAAGCATAGACTTAAAGAGCGAATTACATGAAAAAAAAATGCGGGTGTGTGAGGGTGTGGGTGTGTGGGTGCGGACGTTACAACAGTTTTTAATCAGACCCGCACACCCACACCCTCAGATAGATCAGGTTCATAATTTTCTACTTTTTGTTCAACAGTGGGTTTTAATGGATGTGAACAACAACGAATTAATTTTTGATTAACTGAGAAAAACAAAATGAAGAAAAGGAATACTGGAAGAATTCAATACCAATTCGGTATAGAAATGGTTTATAAGAATTAACTTTTGTTTGTAAAGCTAACATCATTTTAATTCCAGATGAACATGTTATTGCTTGTGGTTTAGATTGATACCATGGATAACAATCAATTGCCATTACAGTTAAATGTTCAAGTAAAGCCATATATTCTTCCACAATCTAAAGAAAAAAAATGAAATTTTTATATTGATCATTTCAATAACAATCGCTTAAAGTACTTCAACTAAATTTGATAAATCATAAAATCGTTCATCAAATACATTCATCATTTGTGATAATATCATTGTTGGCATTGCGATTTGTTCACAAGGTTGAATAAGACTAACAAACATAAACTTTACATCTTCTTGTTCCATCAAGTTTACAATCCTAGGAAAATCAATTTATCAAAATCCAAGAAAAGAATTCTCATCTTGCATTTGGAAATATTTCATACCCATTGCTAAAATCTCGAATTTCTAATTATCAATCCGGGTAAATTTTTCGATTGATTGAAATTCAACAAGTGGATTCTCATTTGTTTTAAGTACTTGTTGAAATAAATCATTTGATATAACAGCTTCTATTACAATCGATTTCCCTCATCCATTCATCCAATGTAATCCTGGCTGTTTCTTTATCTTTAATTTAAAAACAAATCGTTAATCTAAATCAAGAGGAGGGGGACACTTTGTACGCAAAACGGCCCTAAATAAAAATCAGTTCAAAACTCATTTCTAACTACGATTTCACGCTGTACTGTGTGTGAGTACATGATTCTGAGCTTTTACAGACCATTTTCAAAAGGTTTTAGTCTCCGTCTAAAAGCAGTAGATCTCTACAATAGAACATTTACTGCAGCGACTGTTGTAGCAGCCAGCAACACATTATACAGGCCCGCTAATAACCTACAGATAGAGCTTTTCAAAACCAACAAAATGATCATAAAACATTCAATAAAATATGCTGTGCTCGACAATTCCTAAACANGTCGTAATTTAACCATCATTAGTGGGCTTTTCGAATGCTCTAACAATTGTAAAAAATGGCTCCGAGTCTCAATAACATGAGGTAACAATAGCTACAACACCTGACAGAAAATAACTACAGCTAAATAGCATTGTTAATATTTGGCAAGAAATCCTCCACTGTGACTAGAACTTCTATACACAGTTTTGTTCAAAATAAAATTCTGTATCGAATGGTATATAGAACATGTTTCTTTTACTGGAAAAGTACCGACTCTCAATTCAACCATTGTATCTAAAAGATGTTCACATGAACAAAACCACAACTGATCTTATGCACAACGGAACAAGCTAAAACTTGTAGAAATGATATAGAACAACGCGCTCTGCAGTTTGGGAAAACTTCACACTGAACTGACGTCTTTTTCAAATTAGGCCGAAATGACCACAAAACATCCCTCTTCCTTTCTCTATGTTTTTATTATTCCTCAGATGAACCCTAGATTTTAAAGCACACAATCACCTATATTTCCACCGGTGAAATCACGATGGTACCTAGTTCAGTACTCGAGATCGTAAGCACCACACTTTACCATACATTCGTCTTACCATAAGTTTCGACAGTGTGCTGTTTAGGAATTGTCGAGCACAGCATATTTTATTGAATGTTTTATGATCATTTTGTTGGTTTTGAAAAGCTCTATCTGTAGGTTATTAGCGGGCCTGTATAATGTGTTGCTGGCTGCTACAACAGTCGCTGCAGTAAATGTTCTATTGTAGAGATCTACTGCTTTTAGACGGAGACTAAAACCTTTTGAAAATGGTCTGTAAAAGCTCAGAATCATGTACTCACACACAGTACAGCGTGAAATCGTAGTTAGAAATGATTTTGAACTGATTTTTATTTAGGGCCGTTTTGCGTACAAAGTGTTCCCCCTCCTTTCAAAGAATTAACTTACCAATAGAATAATTACCACTAATACTAATTACATAAACTCTTTCTAAGCATGTAGATTTAATAAGTGTTAAAACAGCTTGAACACCATTTAATAGCATAGTCCTTCCCATAACATTATTAGTTGTTGCAACAAAACAAACAAATAATATTCAGTTAAGTTTCGCTTAATACTTGTTCAGCGTGCCTATGAGCTTGTACGATCAAAACATTGCTTTTTTTCATGAGAACATTTTCAAACTATTGATAAGCATCATATGCTTATCGAATTGTTATAAAATTAAGTACAGGACTATGTCTCATAACACCATTGAAAACGATCGTTTCAATACCAGTTTTTAACATTGTTAGAGCTTTACATTCACGATTCGTATCGGCAATAAGTGAACCCATAAGAAATGAATTCTTATCTATTTCCATTGACTCATTTGAACCTACAATTATCTATGGATCATTACAAGGTGGATCTCTCCATTAAATGAAGATGCACTGTTAGTTATGTTTGTGCGAATTGTTTTATTAGTTTATTAAACTAACTATCACTTTCAGGAATGAAGAATGTTAGTGTATTTTCATAACATATACTTCTATCCTCTCCATTCTTTTCTATTTTCTCTTTGTTTTCATGTGCTTACATAAACACTGTTTTTCTAAACGAAAAAATAGAGAGCGAATATAATGCATCTTCAACTGTGTTCGTCACTTCTCGTGAGCGAGAACGCTAACAAAGAATATAAAAGAAACACAGGATTTATGTGTAACGAATGCTTCAAGATAAATGGTGATACAATATCTCGTGGGAATCATATCTTGAATATTTTGAAGAGACATTCAGGCGTGGACAATTGAAAAAAGCCAAAATATGATAGTAGATTGAGACTACCGTTTATTTTATGGATATTTTTTTCAGATTTATCATTATTACTATTTTCATTACAAGTTAATCTATGGATGAGCCTTCTGAGGTTTGTAACCATTTGTCTGTTTACATCTTTCCTATGTCAACTATTTAGCGTAAAGCAAACTACGCCGGTAATGAAAAGAGACAACTCGCAAGTTATTTGGATAATTGTTCATCAGAATCGACTACAACTACTACTACTACTACTACTACTACTATAGTAGTCGACGATCTTGACTTCGATCTGTCCAGATTCTTGTTTTCCTTGAATATCAGACAAGATTCTTTGTAATCATAATATTCAGACAAGATTCTTCGAGGCAGGAAAGAAACAAGATTCTTGTCTGTTATTCAAGAAAAACACAATCTTGTCTGATTGATCAGATAAATAAGAATCAGGCAAGAATGGCAAGATATTCAAGATTTTTTTAAATTCAGGCAAGAATCTTGTTTCTTTCCTTTCTCAAAGAATCTTGCCTGTTATTCAAGAAAAACACAATCTTGTCTGATTGATCGGATAAATAAGAATCACGCAAGAATTACAAGATATTTCAAATTTCTTGAAATTCAGACAAGCTTCTTTTTTCTTTTCTTTTCAACATATCTTAAAGAAAAATATCACGTGATGTCTGTGTATATATAGTTATAAATATACAGAAATTTGAACATTATATATTTTTTTCTAGATGACGCGCTGACGAACTATAACACATGTATTTTTTGAATAAATTCTTTTGTTCAATCGTTTTTCTTTTATTTTTTTTCTTCTTGATTTGTTTTACGCGATATGAATTTTTGTATGTTTCCTTGCACATATAATGTACTTTTTTTGTATTTTTTTTTAATTCGAAATTAAAATATAATAGGACCGAAAGGAGGCAACCGTATGGATGCCTAAATAAAATTTATCTGTATTACAAGGATTTTCTCAAAATAGCAAGAATTGTAAGAAAACAAGAATCTTGCCAAAATGGCAAGAAACAAGAATCATGCCAGAAAAGCAAGAAACAAGAATCATGTAAGAATTGCAAGAACACAAGAATCAGGCAAGAATACAAGAACACAAGAATCTTGCCTGGCGGGACATTTCTTGCCTCGCCAGCCAAGATTGTGTCTACACGAATCTTGCCAGAAAGTCAAGAGCTGTTTTTTCAGACAAGCATCTTGTACAGAAGGAATGGCAAAAGAATCTTGTCTGATATTCAAGAAAAACAAGAACCTGGACAGATCGAAGTCAAGATCGTCGACTAGTGTAGCTCCGATGATCAACCGATGGATATGATATCATCAATACACACCAAAAATGATGTTGTAAGTAATGAATTTACTTTTGTGGTTTCTACTATTGAAGTCGTGTGCTTTATGATTGATTTTTCGATCTCAATGTGTTTTTAACGTTGAGACCAGAAGCCGTCACAGGGCTGGGCAAAACCTTTTTTCCTTTTCACAATATAAAACAAATGAAAAACATCTGATTTCAGTTTAGTGTGTCTGATTAGAAAATCGATTAAAATGGAAATATTTTAATCTAATTATTTGATGTTCAATCCATTTTGCTTGATTAAAATTCACTTTGAAAATAAAAAAAAGATTTTTTCCTGTGATAGGTAAATATAGAAATAGCTACTATAACAACAGGATATGTTAATAAATATTCTTTCTTATCAACAGCATCATTTCGACATGTCATATTATTAAAAATTCAAACTGATGCATGAAAAAATATATGCAAAACACTCGTGTATATTTCATCGACATATATAGTACGTAGGAAGTTTCTTTTCTAATAAAGAAAAAGAGAAAGAGAAAGAGAAAGAGAAAGAGGAAAAGGCTGAACTTGCTCATTGCTGTTCATTTTTCTTTTCTAACGATCTGCATCGGTCACGATGTGTATGTCCCACGGCATTCCTTTCGTAAGTGATTTTTTTATACGACATTTTTAATTCCAAATGCATAATTTATTTGAGTCGTCAAAAGGTGATTTTCGTTTCTTTTTTAACGTTCGTAACAAAAATTCATATTATCTGCTCTGATGGTAATGTGAACAGAAAAACGACACAAACAGAGTCTCTAAAAACGTGAAATCCTCTGGAATTCACTGGTAGGTCTATAAAATATCCCTAAAGAGTTTCTATTTTCAGCAAGTGAAGATGAACACTTAAAGTCTGTTGTGACTCCCTAGTGATTCATCAAGAAAACATGACGAAATATAACAACACGTTCATCGTTTTTGTGTGTATCTGTCTAAGTATGAAACTCAGTTAGGATTTAATAGAAGTATTTTTTTTTCAAAATGATTTTCTTTTAAAAATCATGCCTATTATTTAGCCATCTGGCTGAATCTGTTGGCAGTCAACTCATCATTTCGGTAAGAAATGATTTCTAAACCGAATGACTGATCTATTGAGACGAGGGTTCCTGAGCTATTCCGAAGAAAATAATCAATAAATATCCATAAAAAGATGACACACACTCTTCTAAAACACAGGTCATTTTTAATCGAAATTATTTTCTATTCTAATGATTTTTCTTTTAGGATAGTATGACCTCGTCTATATCACCACCTGCTGCTCCAGCACCAGCACCGGTCATCATTAATGAAGACGAAATCGAAGGTTTTAATGATAATGTAGATGAAATTTTAACAGAAAAAGAAACGATTCAACAAACGTTGGAGCAAAAAGAATTGAAATTCAACAAATTCAACAAGCACTTGAACAAAAACAAACACAACTTACTTCATATTTTTCAAGTAAATATTTTGACTTACTCTTTTGATTATCTCAAATGAAAGAAGATGTAAAAAATCTATAAAGATAGAGCGAGAAAAGCTGCACAAAATCTACATAAAATAATATCCAAAAAATATGCGCATACAATAGTTTAATTGAGTCCAAAAGCAAAAAGAAAGAAATTTAATATTTTGGATTTGTAGGTGTTTTTTACACGCTCCTACATTTGTGATAATCAAAAACAGTACATCAATATTTTTTGTATAACACTCGTCATTTCAGGTTTACTTGCAAAATGTTTCTTTGGTCTTCAAGTCAACAACAAATTGTTGTCCGATATTACCATAAAGGTATGAATAATGTTTGAAGAAGCATTGACAATTGTCTATTTTCTTTTAGTTGTTTGATGATGTTGCACCACGAACATGTTGTAAGTTTTTGATTATAATCCTTGTGTCTATGTTTCTTTTTCATTTTATAGCTTATTTTCGATCAGTAATATCCGGTAAACGGGGCTATTATTTTCAAAATGTCAAATTCGACTATTTGGTTGTGAACAAATATTTTGAAGATAGACGTTTTTGCTCATAGAAATAAATCTGAACATATCGTTTATTTTTTGTTCCAGGGGGACAAGTTATGGCGTATACACGCAATGGCATTTGGTAAAATATTTTTATTATTTTTGTTTCAGTATTTACCTTCATATTTCTAGTATTCGTCATGAAATAAAGGAAAAAACAAATAATTTAATTCACAATCGCGAAGACCTTATAAGCATGGATGTCAAAACAATGCGATTTGGAATCACTTTAGGTAAATAATTTTTTACGAGTAATAGTAGTAATTCACATATTATTCTTCATTTTTAGGTCCCATGCCAATTTTGGATAATAATAATAATAATAATAATGTAAATTATAAATCATTTATCATATTCATTAAACTTCCCAGGTCAAACAGTACGGTCCGTATACGACCGTTTACAACTATTTTCCGGGCTAAAATTTCCCGTAATATCTGGCGCAGTAATACGGACCGTATGATCATGAGAGTACGGAGCACAAACAGCCGTAGACCATGAAAATTCAGTCCCGTTTACGGTGCCGTATTACTGTGCCAGGTACTACGGGCAAATACGGCCTATTTACTGCCGTAAATATACTGTTTTGACATCGTTTACCGTCAATAAACAGACTGTAAACGAGTCCGTTTTGATCAACCTGAGTTGCGACTTTCATTTAGATTATCTTCGGTGAAATCGAAACGGGAATGGAAATTATACAATCAATTAATGCACGTGGTATGTTCAACTAATTTGATTTTAATTTTGATTTATGTAACATTTTCGTTTTTTAGGTATTTAACGTGCTGATGTTCGATGTGCTCTTGAAGCTAATGTTGTACACGATGATGATTCTCATACTGTTGCTCCATTTGATACTGTAAATACTGACAATGCTCAACCTGGTGCTATGACTATTGATAATAGCCAAATTAGTGCCGACGATGTTGGTGATAATCCAATAGACAATGTTGTTATTTACACTTGTGGTCAACGAGATTAGATGTTTTTACATATGGTCATTTTTTTTACATAAAAAATTAAAACAACTATATATCTTCATAAAGGGTCTTTTGTGAGGAATAAATTTTTGATTCAATTGTTGGTAATATAGATGAAATCGAAGGATTTAATTGAGTTATTTGTTGTTGATGAATAGGATTATGAGACACAACTGAACAAGAATTTGAAATTAAAAAGCTTGTTAGCGCAGCTCCTTTGAGGCTAAAATGTGGAACTCACATATATCCCTTCGGCTTACTAAAATAATGCAAAATAGTTCATCCGAAAAATCTGTCCTGATTTCCAAAACCTATAATTAGGTCATTGCCTATTTTCTTATGTCTGTAATCGAGTATTAATTGTTAGCTAGTATATTTAACAATGACAGATACTAGTTTCTATGGTCTGTAATGGTACCCTAANTTGTGGTCATTTCGGCCTAATTTGAAAAAGACGTCAGTTCAGTGTGAAGTTTTCCCAAACTGCAGAGCGCGTTGTTCTATATCATTTCTACATAATGATAAGCATGATATTAAATAGCTATTTAGCACATATGAGTAACATTGATAGTTTAACTAGATGAATACATTGATTTTGATATACAATTGAAAATTTAGTTGTTACCAATTTGTAGTACATTGAAGCAGTGTAGCCTGTTAATGTCTTGCTTAATTCGAATTTGTAGTTTTTTACACTTTAAAGGATTTTGTTGTCATGAATTTCATTCTTTTAAATTAGCAAAAATAAAGTTGTTTTATTATATTATTTAAGCCATAACATGCAAGATGAAGTCGAAAGCTTAAATTATCTTGATGAAATATATGTAAGTATTCTTGTCTGTATAATTGTTTCTCCTCATGCTTTGGAGATTCATACATTTTTATACAACTTGCTTACTAGAACTAAATTTGGAATATTTCTAATATTTATGTTAGTATAGAATGAATTGTATTAAGTTACTCATTGTTAAATTCCATGGTGTCAATTGAGGGTGTGGGTGTTGATATCTTTCACCCACACCCTAAGCAAACTGCAAATGAATGATTTGTAAAAACCTTTTTGTCAAATTTTTATTTAAAATCAATGAGAAGGTGTGGGTGTGAATATTGAGATGATCTACTGTCACAGTTATTACTCGGCACCAACAGCTACATCCACATCATGAAAGAAAAACATTTATATAAATGCGTACTTGCCTCTTAGAGCTGAAATTACTCTAAATAAACGAAAAATACTGTAATTTCTGTAAGAAAACAATGAAAATATCTTTTTCAATCAGAAAAGTAACCGCTGACGAATGAAGGCTTCAGTAATGTAGAGCAATTCTCACATATTATTATTAAAAATTGAAATGAATCATTGAAAAAATCCATGTATTGCAATATGGGCGAATTTAAATTATTATAATGAAACCTATTTGATTGCTTTTGCCTTGGATTTTAATTCTTGATATTATGGATGGAAATGTATGGTATAGATGAAGAGCACGTTCTCATCCGGTTAAGAATTAATACATACATACGTAGATTCAAAAGCAAATATTCTTGAATTCTTGGTATATTCCTTTTCTTATATTTCAGTCATTACAAAAATCGTAATTTTTCTTAATTTATAGATTGTCAAACTTGGAAAATGAATCCTACTGATACGATAGTTAAGATCAATGCTATTCGTTACGATGTGAAGACTGACATCTCTCGAATACATGAGTCTTGCACGTTGGAAATTCATGAGTCATCATTTCGTAAAATAAATAATTTGGCATTCTTTTTCTTCCGTCTGAATGCCATAAAATCAGCACATCATTGAGTTGTGCGATCATTTTGGCATATCATCATGGAAATATTACAAAGAAGTTACTCATCAACAGAAAGAGAAGATCCTTCGATTATAAATGAACTATACGAATTGGTTTTTCATAATCAACCGGAGGAACTCAAATTTTATTTACAGAGTAAACCAGACATAATCTCATATATTTTTACTCACATTCATCGATCGGATGTCGAACATTACAGTTTTCTCATGTTGGCTTCATTACGTGGGTATGATGCAATCGTAGATATTTTACTTCAACATTGTCCTAATTGTATTGATCAGATCGCACTGCAAGGACACGTATACGGTGTTAACGGCGTTTTAATAAAAAATGCAACTGCCTTGTGGTGCGCCCTTGATCGTGGTCATTTTACAATTGCAAAGACTTTGATTGATTTGGGTAAAGCTAATGCTGATGATGGTACATCGACTCCATTTTTGATTGAAGCCGTTTTCAGAGAACGACTCGACATTGTTCAATTTTTAGTTGAAAATGATTATGTTGATATCAATGGAACAGTGACTCGTGATAGAAATAAATATACGAGCCTCATCGCAGCTGCTTCCTTAAATAATACGCAGATATTGACCTATATCATAGAAAAAGGCGCTGAGCTTGATTATAGGACGTACGCACACGATGATACGGCGCTTACCACTGCTATTAAACGAGGTCATTTAGCATCAGTGAAGTTACTATGCTCAGCAGGTGCCTCCTGTGGCACAGCCAATCGTTTTGGGGACACTCCATTGATATTAGCAATCAAGAACGATCACGTAGATATAGTCGATACCTTAGTCGAACATACTCATGACGACATAGCTTTCAATTTTCTTGAACGAAATGCTGCTTTTTTTATACTTTCTGACCATGATGGTCAACGACAACAACATGAATTCATGATGCGACTTTTGCAACAATCAATACAAAGACGAGAACAATTTAATGTACCAAAAACCATTATCGAACCTGTTGCTGCTTATGATTTTCATAAAGAATGTCAATCTATTGACGAACTCGACAAGATCAAACATGATAGAGATCGTCTCTACATTGAAGCTTTGCTTATCCAAGAACGTCTTCTTCTGCCTGTGAAGGATGTGAAATTATTTGAGCCTTTACTAACACGAGTCATTGTACTTGTTGAAAGGAACGAGTTCGATCGAGCACTTCATCTAGCACTTCATACATTTCATTTATATCAACAGCTAAAATTAGAAACAAAAATCCATCGTTTTGTCTGGATTTTCTGTAGAATACTCCATGCAAACGTTCATTTTCCAGTTCATCTTTTTTTGGCAGCATGCAATCTTCTCTTTGAACCATCACAACAAAAGTCAGATGATGAGACTCTAAACAATGCTTTGTATCTAGCAGTCATTGCAACAAAGGTAATTAACAACTCATTAGTACACGACCATTAATTCTTTACCTCCAAAAATGGTTTCAGAAGGGCTACTGATAAAATAAGGTTATAAAAGGAGTTCTAGCCCACTTAATATGTCAATCATGTAATTTGATCTGTCGAAAGTGCATCTCTTTGCATAGAATCGCTGGATTAGTATGGGGATAGTGTGATAGAGAAAAAGCATTGAGCGTCCTGCTACACCATGATTTTGTTTTATTTGAGGAGATTATTGAATAAACTATATCAACATCTATCCGCTGTTGTCATAGTAATACAGAAAAAGAAGGAGGAAATCCACCCAATTTAATGTTCAAGAAGTGCATATTTTTGGTCTTTTGTCATATACGCATCTGCTCTGCTTTGAGCTATTTAACAACCTCTGAAGATATTTGATTCCTAGTCAATACTTTTTCAGCTTCTCATGGGTTGAGGTTTATAATTCATAAATTAACTTGGTCCTTGATTACTCTAACAGTAGCTTCATGAGCAATTTTATTCCTTACTATATGTAAACCAATGGTTTACTCTGAAGATGTCGAAACAAATCTAACTTAACAGTGAACGTAGCCATCTAATAGTATGCCACAGAAACTTGGAAAGATTTCTATTGCTTGTAGGTAGAAAACAAATTGTTTCGAAAAATTCGATTTTTTATCGTTTTTGTAGATGTAATTGTTGCAGACATAGAACGGTGAAAAAAAAGATTCTTTTTGTCAGTCAATAGTTTATACAGTTCGCCACAACAAATGCTCTTACGTTTTTAAATCCCATGCTTCATTTCTTTTTTGCAATCGTTCAAAAAAATAGCGATTGAAATTACCAATAGGAGGGTAAAAGGTTAAATACAATTTTGAAAAAACAATAATTTTAATACATGTTAGGTTCTCGAACAAGAAGCAATAGGCAATAAAGATCGCGACGCTATCATTCGATGGATCCAAGAGCTATGCCGACAACAACGTATTATGCCAACTGGACAGACTCTATTGCATTTGAGTGTTGATTCACGAACAAACAACAATATCAACTACCGATCAGATGACATCACACCTGCCATTGTGTAAATAATATTCGATACAATTTTCAACTAAAAAAGCAAACAAATCAATTATATTTTTTTATATTTATTTTCCAGCTTTCCGAATTTGGCAGTTACAAAGCTCTTTCTTAAATATGGAAGACGATGGATTGATGTCGATGCTACAGATGGAATTCGAGGTGATACTGCTCTACACTTGATCTCACGCTGTTCAATACAAGACACCGACATGCCTTCAGAAGCAATCGCCAAGTTGCTGATCAATGAAGGGGCTCATGCAGATTGCATCAATAAATATGGTGAGACGCCTATCGATGTAGCTACTAACAATCTTATAAAAAGTCTGTTACGATTACGACAAAGTCCATCATTACTGAAATGTCGTTGTGCGCGCTTGATAATTGACCAGAAAGTACCTTACGAACAATTATGGCCAAAGGAAACATTACTAAATAAATTTTTATTCTTACACGGTGGTTTGAAATGTGAACATGCACTTTTAGAAGATGATCTGATGGAACTTTTCGACTGATTCAGTGACGACAATATTCATTTAGACAATGTTTCATTTAAATAATGTACTATCTAAGTCATGTTTATTTTCATTCAATAAAAAATAAAATGTACATTTCATTGTATGACAATTAATTTTTAAACAGAATGCAGAATATCTTTTATCTTTGCTGTTCTAAACTTAATATAACAAGGGTGTGTGTTTCTCATTCTGAGCTACACTCACATCTTCCACCCACGCCCACACCGTCTGCAATCTTATATAGCTTGACTGTAAAATAATTAGAAATCGATATAAAAATAACCAATGAGTGTAGTGATTCATAAAGAGCATTTCGAATTTTTGGATGTGTGAAAAGTGTATCCATACTCACATCCTACTCCTTAACAAAAATATGATCATATTCGTGGAAGCCTTTTTCTTCAAAGAATTCGTTACGAACCAACGATTGTACTTATTGGCAAACAATTAAGAACTTTATCGAAACTATAGACATGTATATTTTATTAATCTATAAGATTATTTTTTCTGCATATTAGCAAGCATCAACAGGAAGCCATTTTTGTTCTAATTCGTTCATGCGATGGCGTAGATTATTGCATTCTGTTAAATTGTTATGATCACTCGGTAGTTGCGTTCGTTGTGTTTTAAAAGCTGTCTCGCACAAATCTCGTGCTTCGCGCATGTTCCTGATAAATTCAGTAGTGTCGATCGCGTTGATATTCTTCTTCATGTCTTCACCCCATTGAACAAGACAATAAGCGAGCTTGTATTCTGTACGTGCCAAATCTACATGTTCAGAAGTTAAAACTTTCCGGCGTTGTTCCAATGATCGTCGTAGATAGGCTACTGCTTCAGTATGCTTACCCAACTGACTGTGCGCACTCCCTAGAATTTGCAGCATCAAGGATTCTGTTCGAGTGGCCATGCTGTCGTCTTCTAGGATATTTAAGAGATTTCGAATTATAGTTTCTAGAATTTCATTCGTGGTTCCTATCTGAGGATTCTCTACTCGAATGTTCTGTACGCGAATGCGTGCAATAGCAATGACGGCTTCAATTTGATAGTTTGATTTACGTTGCAACTCTGACTTCGCAATAGGATCACTTAACTTCATCAAGTTGTTTTGACATAGCTGCATCTTTTCAATGAGCTTTTCATCTTCTTGCGCATCTATTCGATGGGTGAGCTGTTCACAGATATGCCAATATAGCTTTGCTCCCCATTTTGTGATGTTTAGTGACAATAACGTTTCGTCGTCGATTTTTATTCTACGTCTAGAATCCCTGTTTTTATTAATTAATTCGTACGATTTACGAAATGATTCTGCTGCTTTTGAATATAGACGCACCTCATTGAGATAGTAAGAGCCGAGACGCCATAATAAATCGGCAAGTAACATTGCATTATCCTCACAACCATCCCAATCAGAAGTGTATTTAGCTAGAACATAAGCATGTTCAAAATAATGTATAATATTCGGTGCGTGCTGTCTTTCGGTAGTTGCGTGATAGTCGTAATTAAAGCCCGAGTTTACCAATTGCAACACATAGTTCCACACATGATCAGTCGTATCGTCGAGAAGCGGCTTGCGTAAGGCGTTGCCATGCGTACTTGGCATATTGTATATTTCCAGATAGTCCGGTGGAATATAGTTTCCACTGGTATAAACATTTATGGTTGACAAAAGTACATTCTTCTTTAAAATACAAAATTTTTTCAAAGCTGAAAGCAGATGCTCCCAAACTTCACGCGGTTTTCTTCCTGTAAGGATAGTGTCATCAGTTTCGAAGTGTTCTTTCGGAGGAAGGATCTTTATAAGTCGAAGAAACATCTCCCGACTGGCATAATTGGACTTAATTAAAGTGACCACTTGTGCACAAATGAAGGAAAGGGAGTTCAGTGTTCTCAACTTGTCTAACGCCAAGTTTACTAAACTTGCCAATATATCAGATCCTTCAGATAAAGCCGTTCCAAGTCGATACTTAATGTCTCTCTTGGTTACATCTTCAGATGTCAAAAGTACGGCGGTCAGTTGTATAGTTAACCGACGCCCATCAACTGATAAAATATCGTGAATAATTTTACGCCGACTTTCTCTCACACTGTTACGGGAAAATGCAGATAGTTTATTGCATACCCAATTCTCAATTGTTTCGCTTGCGATACCTTGTAGTGGTAGGTAGACCCAAGCTCCTTTAGACGCATTTGCCGCTACCGTAGTATACGATTGTGAAGGAGGCAGATTTACACTATCGTCCGTATATAGGGCCACAAGATGACGCCGCCGCTGATGACGCACACTAGGATCACTTAGAGCTTTATCTAGAGCAGTTAATAACTCGTGACATTGAAAAATGCGCTCACTACCATCTATTATTGATTCAGCAGCCACTTTCTCTCCCACTGGATCTTGTATGTTGTCCACAATCAATAAGAAATGGTTAACAGCCATGGATGAAAATATAACTTTTAGCACTGCTTTCTGCAGTTCTTCTGGAGAGAGAGCGATAGAAAAGACATGAAATGCCCGAGCTAAATGCACTGTACAACCGTAAAGAGAGTCGCTACAGTCGAACCACCAAATAAGATCATAGTAGTTTCGTACATCTTGAATAAGAGCTGACACCACTGTGGACTTGCCTGTACCACGTGGTGCTGTGATGATAAGTTTTCGCTCTGAATCCATGAAGTCTATTGGATCAGTGTATGCTGCGCGTTGTAGGCCTAGCTGTTGCTTCAACAGTGCCATAGACGTTTGGTCTACAGGTAAGTCACTCCTACTTCGTTCTAAGCTACTGTGCTCCAACTTGCTCGCATTGTCGACATTGGTAATAAGACGAACGTCTAGTTTTGAAAAATGTTGTATCCAAAGACGCGCGATCGTCATTTCTTCTTCGTTTGTTAAGGTAAGAATCTCTGTTTCGGTCTTCGACTCTGTATGTGATCGAAACAGATTAAGTGCACACACCATCATGGTAGCTTGTACGGATCGTATGGACTCTCCAAGTATGGCGCGGCATGAAAAGTTAATAGCATTTCCGTTGCACAGCAGAACAATCTCCACTTCTGTTCCATCCAAACGCTGAATAGTGTAACGGGAGTAATAACCACGATCGTCACTGCTATTTTCATAGCGTTTCAAATCGTCATGTAAATCTAGTTCATCGTCTGCGGATGTACACGAGCCTATTATTAGACGATTTATGCTTGGACCGATGTGCAACAAATCATTGAATGCAAGAGCCTTGTTGCCTGTAGCACAGAAAATGAATGAAGCTGTTTGCAGCATTTCTTCTTTGGAACAAATGACAAAATCTTGTGAAACTGCACGAAGCATAATAGTCGGATTAACGTCATAGACCATCACCCTGCCGATGTGCTGTTGTCGCATATGTATTGCAATGCTATTGCCTATCTTGCCGAATCCAATTACACCCACAACAGGATGATCTTCTAGACGGAGATCCAGCGTCTGCCGCAGAATTGTGTCCGCTGCGCGCACCAAAGATTTCCCCACATTATAATCTTCAGTCATTTTCATCTGGCTTCGAGCTACTGAGTAGATGCGTGGATGTGTCACATTCCGAGGCAGCGATTGTTTTGCGTCGTGATACTTCTGGTGTCCATTCTCTGTATCTTCTACAATACCTAACAGTTTCCACAGACGTGGATAACTATCCTTGTTTCCGAGTTCTGCTAGATAAGGCGCGAAGTAGCCACCAATGTCCATGATGATTACTTCTGCGTCATTTAAGTTAGCAACGTCAGATATTAGTCTGATAGCTTCTCCGGTTCTCTTGAGAGATTCCTTCGTCACTTGAGGGCGGACAGCTTCCTTAAAGTTGTTATGCGTGCTTACCCAATTCGCCATTGTTTGCATGTGCTGTGGCCGATCGCTTTCTGGGGCACCCTTAAATATGATGATCTTAATATCACCAATTCGTTGCAAGGCGTCCAGATATGCAGGCAGAGTAGGCAACAAATGCACGACGACAACCAAAATGGGCTGATTTTTTTATTGAACTCCCTTCCTGAACTGACCGTGTGTCGTTGTTTTTCGATTGTGACGAACGAACTAACCCCCCCTCCCCGGAATAAAAGATCCGGGGTCTTCTATAATGGCAAAGCAGATCAAATTTCAAAGGAGGCCTTCTATTTGGGGGGGGGGCTCTTCTATTTGAAAAATAGAGTTTATGTTGGCAGAAAGTTTTAGAAATCTTCAGATAAATATTTATTTTTAATCCTTTTTGTTCAATTCACAATTTCGAATTGACAAGAGATGAAAATCAAAACATAAATTTACATAAGTTACATAAATATAATAATTATTATTTTTTCCATAATTCATCTAACTTCAATTGTTTACAACCATTTTTTAACATCACTTGTATGTGTTGTTGATTGGCCAGGTTCGCTTCGTTTGCAATATGATTTTGAATATCATCATCATGATCATTAGGTTGTATTTGAGATTCTTTGTTAGGATCATAAATATAGCCATGTAACGTTCGAGGTGATACAATAGAACAATCTGTCCAAGTATATCCGATTTCTGTAAAGCCTTTTTTGAGATCAATTGAATTTAACGTACGCCTCCAGGCTTCCCATGTAAGACGAGTACATATGATTCTAGATTGAGCAGCATTGAGTTTCAGTTTGTTCCTGGGTCCATTTTTTTCTATAAATTCTTCGGCTGCGTTGAAATAGTGGATTTTAAAATTGGAGCAGACGCGCGTATCAAGAAGCTGTAAATATTGTGTGCAGCCTTTGGGAATTATTGCAATAACAACACTTCTCTGTCGCAAGCTTTGTTTTACTAGAGGATTCAAATGAGAATTACATGAATATGTTATCAACAACTTCGGGTTGCTATCTTTCACCTGAAAGATAAAAATAGATATGAGAAAGCAGTAAATTATACCATTCAAATATAATCAAGATGAATAACACAGCTTTTCTCTGTCGCTATGAAACTTTCTCAAAACCAAGAAAAAATATTGATTCACCAGCAACAGTTTCATTATTGAAAATGAATGTTCAAGACTCACCCGCTCATACCAGTAATCGATAAACTTATTCATCGTTTCGCTATTTATAACGGCTTTTTGTGTAAAGTAAACCGCCACATGTTTTGAGTATTGACTAACTTCTTTGTCAGATACTCGACCCTTCCTTCTGAATAATAATACTGAAACAATGCGATTATTTCTCTCGGGAAATATTGTGAGAATAACTGTTGCAAAACGCTAAAATGAAAATTGTATTATTGTCATTATATTTAATAATGAATATACTCGAGAGCTACCATCTAGAAGAACTCACTTTCGAACAAATATTTCCTTCAACTTCATTGTCAACATTCACATAGTTCATACTTCGTTTTGTTTGATCACCAAAAAGGGCCACGGGTGATTCATCGAAATTGCACACATCACGTGGAACGAATGCACCCATAGGCCCTCGTTTAGGTCCCCACTTGCTTGCTTCACGTAGATAATCATAAAACAAAGTGGCATGTTCATGAGTTTCGATTAACGGTATCTTTTGATTTCTTTTTGGTCGTTGTAAAGATAATCGATGTCGTATCATAAACCGCCTGTACCATTTGATTGATGGTGCTTCATGTTTTAATTCAGTTGATAAATTTGCACCTTGTCGAAATAATTTTTTAAACGTTATCTTCTCGTGTCGAATTGTAGATGCTATTAAGGTTGGTGGTGTTCAATGTTCCTTAAACCATTTGAATAGACGATCATCTAAATCAGCATATTTTATCTTATGTCCACCACCTTTAAGACGTTTTCGTTGTTCACCTAAAATGAAAAAAAATGAAATATTTTACCAATCACACAAATAGTAAAATTATTCTGCATCAGTAGCTCACCTTTACTCAAAGATTGAAGATTATATAACTCCTCTTTTATTTTTAACCATTCAGATAGCTGATATCGTGTACATCCAATTGCTTTGGCAGTTGAATGTTTACTATTGGACTTCTCATAGTTTTCAATTGCACGTAGTTTGTCTTTCACCGATCAGACACGGCGCTTTCGTTTTCCCGATGGTGTACCACTAGCTTCAGATTGTAGAGAACATAACCTGGAAGATGAATTGTCGACGATACGATCACTATCATAGTTTTCATCATCTTCTGATGTTTGCGCTGCTGGATAAGATTGTACTGTTGAATTTACAGAAAGACAAAGCATATTCTCATCGTCGTTGTCCATATGTAATCAGTCGATTTAGAACAATGTAAACATAACAATAAAGAATAAAATCTCTATCTGACGACGATTGGTGCTCGCCTCGTCGACCAATACTCTTCATAATGACTCATGAATGGAAAGAATGTATCTTCTCCCACTCTTTCTGAACAGAGAGAAAAGACGGTGCGAGAGAGTGAGAGAGAGAGTGAGAAAATAAATG